GCCTTGACCTCTGCATTCTCATCCATAACCTTGATATATTTGGCCTTAACCTCAGCATTCTCAGCCTCAAGCTCAATAATGCGTTGTCTCAATGAATCAAGTTCAGATAACATGATAATATTTTAATGTTCTATAATGCTAGTATTCAAAATCGGAAAAATATGTAAGCTGATCGTAAACAATTGTTCATGCCAATCTCTTTTGCCAAGAAAAAAAAATATTAATAGGGGTTTACGACAATCATACAAGTAGGCACGATCCCTTACCCTGAGTGCCTTCGGCTGGGATCAACTTATTTGTTGTCTCTCTCTTTCGAGGCGACGATAGATTTTTTTGGCATGTTTGGAACAATAGTCCGTATAAGATAATGTAGGTTTATCATATATTCTGCATGGAGATTTTAGCATATTATTTGCACCCGATTTCCAGTGGAGCGAACATTCTGCCAAGCGGGTGCAGACTCGGCCACAAGTACTCCCATCCTTTCTAATATGTGAGCAGGTAAGACGATCCATTTATTATATTCTTTCTTCACTTCCATTATAAAATCCGATTTCAAATTATGGAAAAATCCGAATTGAACTTCGGTGGAAAAAGTATAACATAAACGAAAAATATATACCACACTATACTACTTCATTTCTATGGACAAGCAAAAAACAGTATTTAATATTTTAACAGACCGATAGATCGACCCAAATGGAAAGCTATTTCAGAAGTTGATTTGAGAAGGCTATAAATATGTGGATAGGCTTTCTGATTACCTAGAAGATATTGGGACTTTGTATGTTAGCGAATTCGAATTGGACTCCTTAGCCGACTTCTACTACCCAGCTCTAATTCCACCCTTATCTATCTTAGCGAGTAGATTAGATATTTGTAAAAGGGTTCCTATTAGTGTAGAATCTGCTGTTATGGGAGGAATGAGTCTATTTACTCTAGGAAAAAATAAACGATTTTCGCTCCAGAATCTAATCCAAATGAACTATTCCATTAATAACTTGACCATGTTAATAGGAATAACTTAGGAGCAAGAAGAGATGAAAACTTGGAGAAACGACGTGCTTATGAAATTCCTCCATCACCTGAATTTAGCCCCTTCAAAGTACAAACCAGGTGCTTTATACGATGCATTCACCAAGACTAGTGTTTTAGGGTCAGAACATATATTGGCTCTAGCGCGAGCATTATGCTAAGGATTATAATATAATAAATTGTTTTATAGCTCTGGAATAGCAGTTCCATGACTATATATTTTTTCGCTTATCATATATACTTGCAAAATTCAATTTTTTTATTATTATATAGTAAATAAATACAAATGTTTGGGACGTAGTCCAGGATACATGACGTCTATGCTATATCTAATCCTACAGGCTAACTAACCACCTGACATTTACGTGACTTGGAAATTCAACCCTCCTTCTTTATGAATTGTCTGTAAAATACATGATTATTAATTGTAAGAAACTAGGATTACAGTAAATCACAATAAAGTAATTTGCAAAATAGTTAGATTCTTACACAATATATTCATCTAGCAATTAAGATAATTTGAGCTATTCCTCCTCGAAAAGCTTTCTCTTCTTTTTTGTGTCCGCCCGACTTGTCATCCCAAAGTCAATCAAGTAGATGTCATCATTATCATTAATTAAGATGTTTTTCTCCCAAATATCATTGTAGAGGATACCATGCTTGTGGATTGCTTCTAATCCCTTAATAACCCTTGTCTTTTGCTGTTCCATTATTTTTTGGTCGCTCAACATATTACCAACAATGGTTAAGCCAATAACGAAGCTCATACCTCCTTCATAATATCCATAACAGACCAGCTTTGGGATATACTTGCCTTGAATATCAGCTAGATCTTTATACATCTCTACTTCTTTCTGCATTTCTTCCAGAACATACGATGGGGCCTTAGATAAGTCTGCACTCTTCAAAGCAATCATATCTCCACGAAATTCGCATAAGAGAGTCTTTCCACTTCGACCTTCACCTAGTATACTCTTGAACTTAAAGTCTGAGAAGCTATAATTGTTTTGTTTAACAAAAGTGTTGCTGGAAACGCCAAAGGCAGAAGATGATAGTTGATTACTGGGAGTTGGTTATTGATTTATCGAGGAGTTGGAAGGTAATTTCATGTGTAATCGGAGAACACATAAATTATTGTCCCTATGAACTGGTACTAGTACTTGAGGATGAGGAGAATTGGGATTTTCTTTTGCTTATCGAGTTAGGTAAGCATATGTCTTGAGTACTGGTGAAGATTCGGATTGTAGTAGAAGAGTTTTTGAAATCCAGAGCTCTGTATGCTCTCAGCGTAGAAACCAGTAATTATCATAGGTAGTAAGAATACCATATCTAAGTTCGTTTTCTCCCATATAATTATAAATTTGTTGAACTACATCCTTGCTTTTACCCGTATGATAAAACTTGGAAAGTGTCTGTTCACCCATATCTTCTAAAACATGCTTTCTTTTAGCCTCCATCACCAAGATCAATAACTCCGCACGATGGCAGTTAAAATCTAATATGCCAGTAGCGTCAGTTGGTCGTCTTGAATATACGCAGTCTGGTCCTGTAAGAGTGCATTTCGGAGAATAAGTTATAGGTGGTGGAATACACAACAACGCTTCTTCTAAGCTGAGAACTGAAAATGAATATGTGTTAATATTACGAAAGCAAATGACGAAAAATTAGCCATTAGTCCTTAAGACGCTTTGCTAAGCGCTTTGCACAGACTGTACCAGACACTTACGTGATAACTTTACAATAACATAAATATGTTCTTCGGAAGGTGAGTCTGGGAAATACTTCGAAATCTTTTTTGTTGCAAGAAGTTCAACTTGGTCTTGGAGTGTGAGATTGCTTAAGAGATCGTCACGATCGTCAAGGATCGTCACCTTCCATAGTTTGAGCCTGTCTGCGTCTATACCAGCGAAGTCATTTTGTTTTTTTGCCTTTATAGCCTCCTTGAGCTTGCTAATAGACTTGTCCTTCTTAATATCAACTTCGAAAGCGTTCGCGGTTGTATTTCCTTTAACGAGACAGAATAAAGTGATAGACATGTTTTCAGCTTATATAGTATTTTTTGTGAAATTTTATTGGTGCAAACTAGCGTAAGTGAGGACAAGAATTTTATTTGCGAAAAAAATACTAAGGCAAACTATATGTGAGAAATTATTCTGTTTCACAAGAGACCGATCAGCCACATGTGTAACGATCACCTAATCACTGCGCCCCATCAACTGCGAAGACTCTTCTCACTTATCACCTGATATAGTGCTACGTTTTTTATATAGGCTAGATTGGTTCAGATAAAAATGTTAGATTTATATTACATGGACCGTATCATTACACGTGACCCGCTCTCTCATGTACAGTACATTCGATAAAATAATATTCTTTATTTATGAAATAAAAATGTTGCCGGTAGTCAGCCTAAAATACATAAAAATTGCGACTATATCGCTACATGATGTGAATAAAAATACTAATTATTTCTAGGGGGGTATACGATAACATTGATTCCCTTTTCACCAGCATAGATAGGTTAGGGTTGCGTGGGAAAATAACTATAAATTGTGTTTTGCGGATTCATCAATACTGTACCATTCAATATAGCCACATTGTTGTTTCTTAAGTCAAGGATTATGGCATTGTCGCTCATAGAGTCTCTGACCTTATACAAAACCAACCTGCTCGAATCAATATCTTGAAATAGATCTAGGCGACGGTTTCTGATTTCAACCCCGAAAGAAGAAACCCGATTGTTATTAGCATTAGATATTATTACTTCGAAGATATCTCTTGCTTCTTCATCAGGAATCAAACAGTTGAGAGTAATATTCTCACCTTCGAACAACTTATCAAGTTTTGATTTATCAGATGTTTCAGGCTTATCAGGAACCTCAGTCTTATCAGTCATCTTGATTCCTATTTACAAAGCCCATAGTGAGAAAAACTCGCTTCCATACATACATAATTTAGGGCATATACATACCTTATTTTGCGTTAGCTATGCTAATGAAACTATTTTACGAGAAAGTTTTTTTGCGGAAAGTTGGCTGAACTTTCACATATTCCTACATGCTTTATATCTGGCTGGAAAAAAGAACGCTAAGCTGAAGTTAAGGAGGTATGAGTCATAATTAGTATTGTCATATGATGCCAAGAACTCTATGAAAGCACATGTAAACAAAATCCTCATATCTTTTCACACGTAGATTTACCAGAGAGACGCCAAGGTAGTTAGTTCTTGTAGATCTCAAAATTGTAAATCCCTCAGCCATTCATAATATATGCTTTTGTTGGCACTATTTACTTTTAGAGCTGGTCCTGTGTTGCATGTAGACCTTCTTTCACATTTTTCTCATGATTGTTCGGAAAAAAAATAAAGAATAATGATAAAGGTTAATATGTTTTCTTTTTCGAATATATGCAAAAATTAATATGTCACACAAGACTGCCTGGGACTGATGATCCACTTATTTTTCTGTCACACAATCTGTGGCTCAGCAAAAAATCTTCTGAGCTGGTGATCACTGTTCCGGGTTGATGATCAGTATTTCGGACACAAAATTGAATATATGCTAACCAGAGATAAACGCAATCATGACAAGCAATACTAATATTAGTTCTG